TTTCGTGCCCGAGGTGGGAGATGGAAAGGTTTGAAGCCGAGGTAAGGCTGGGCAGGAGGCTAACTGCTGAAAGTATGGTTGAGGACATGCTTGAGAGCATGCAAAAGTGGAGAGCAGTTGAGACCTATATCAACAAGGTCATGAATCGTAAACAAGTAGATGAGAGGGCCCAACAAGCTGGAGATGTTTAACATAGGGTGAAATGAGCTGAGGTATACCGCAGAGGTGATTCCAGTTCCATCACTGGAAATGGGAAGGGTTTTAGCCGGTAGGAGTCCGGCACTCTCGGGGACGATAGAACCTAAGCCCCGAGGTCCATGATGGATTTCCCCTCCCGTATTAAAAAAAAGGTTAGGTTAGGTTCCCCCGCTCCCTCCGCTCCCTCCGCGGTGCTGCTACGTTGTCGTCGTCGGGGGCTCAGTAAGAGTACACTCGATGAATCCAAGGGCGACTCCAGTATTTTCTGGTCTCGACTGAGGAGGAGAGTGGAAATGAAGCTAAGGGCAGCACACGAACACCCTTATCTGCACTTCAGTCTTTCTTCCTGTCTGTCTCTTTTTTCTGCCTTGTTTCTACTTGTCTGTCCTCCTTCTAGGGTGTCTTTTCCTCTGGGTCTAGCTTTTCTTCATTCTGTGCTTATCTTGGGCGGGACTCCTGTTTTCTAAACCTACCTGTCTGTCGGCCTCTCTTGTCACCCTCTTATTTTTCCGGTCCCGACGCTATTAGGGGATCCGAGGGCTAGGGGCCTTCTTTTAAATACTATTTTTCTTCTTTCCACACAAAAAAATAAAAATGAGTGATAAAACAAAGGATATGGCACCCCAGGTGGGTTTTAGTCCCACCACCGGTTCCGATCGGGTGAGAGCCCCGGTGGCCGGTGCTGATCCCTACGGTTCTGGGGGGGGATCAACCACTCATTGCGGACCTCATGGGTGAGGGAAATAAGATTGTCAGCCGACATAAGATTATGCGTACGCCGCCACAGAGGCGGGGTTCCTTTCCGGAAACTAATAGAGAGCGGAAAGACATGGAATGGGCATCGGCGGATGAGGATGTAAGAAGAATCAAAAGGAAGAGGGAGGAAAAAGTGAGTCTGGGAGAAACGGAATCAGACCCGTGGGAGGCAAAACAGACAGTGGGGGCAGATCAACCCACGGACGAGAGACTGGTAATGGCATTTAGGAAAACGCCGAAAGGAATTGTCGAGGAGTCGAAGAAGCTTGCTGAATGGGGTAAAGAACGGAATACTAAAAAAGAAATAAAGGAAATCGCAATAAAGCTGAGGCATCTCACGAGTTCGATAATGACGGATAAGAATTTGGAGCTCATTAAGCGCCTGGGTAGGCCGACGGACCAGGCAGCACAACTGGGAGGCAGGACAAGAATGTAACAGTGAATGTAGGGATTCAGGTGGAGCCTACGGCTTCAAGCGAGGATCTGAAATCTCTGAGAGACGCAAATTACAAGCTCACCGCTGAGAACGAGGAGCTCAAGAAGGAAATCGCGAAGTTAAGGATGGCTAATAACAAGGTGCGACAAACAGCGAGCAGGGAAGCTATCACGGATTCAGAGATTAGCGAAGTAAAAGCATATAGTGACTTCCAAAAGGTTGTAAATAAAGGATGGCCGGAGAAAGAATTTAAGAAAGCATTCCTGGCGGAAGGGAACCCTGTCAAGGTTGATAAAAACTCGGATTTGGTAGCATTGTACGACTCGGTTCCTGGACTGGCAAATGTTTGCAGTTTACGAATGGGAAACATGTTTTCTAGGAGATTCCCGGATTTGGAGGATTTAGTTGGTAAAGTAGATACAATGACTATAACAACCAAAAGAATTACGGAAGGACACGAAATAGTTACAGAGAAGTGGGTAACTAGAATGGAAGTGAGTAACGATGGAGAGGACCTTTTTGATACTTTGGTCACCTTGCGGGATAGGTTAGTCAGAGGAGGTAGAACCAAGGTGGCATTATACCCTACGCTGAGTGACCCACAGGGCAGAAGTATGCGCAGAATGCTGGAATGTATTCTTAGGAATACAAACATTAAGTGTCTGGTTATGTGCAGGATAAACAAGTGAGATGAAGAAGAGTGAGAGGAAAGAGACACCTAGGGATACGGAGGTTATTACGGTCAGAGAGGAGGGAAAGTCTTATGCAGACCTCCTTAGAATGGTAAAGGAAAAGATTCCTGTGGAATCCGCAGCAGCTAGAGGAATACGCACTATCAGAGAAGGCAGGAAAGGCCAAATGGTGATAGTTATGGAGAAAGGTGATCAGGAGAGTATGAAGGAAATTAGAGACAGGCTCGGGGAGGACGATAAGGCGGAGGTCGGTGTAGCGCGGAAGCTAACTGACGAAATTTATATTAAGGCAATTGATGCGGTCACAACTAAAGAGGAAGTGATAGCAGCGCTCTCCAAGGAATTGGGCATTGAGCCAGAAAATTGTCAGGTGGGAAACCTGAGGCCTTACTTTGGGGGAAAACAGGCAGTTACTGCCTACATTGAGAACGGGAAGCTGACAGACTGTTGGAGCGGGGGAATATCAAGATAGGGCTAAGTGCATGCAGTGTGGTTGAGAGGGTGGCAGTTACCCAATGTTACAGATGTTGGGAGTATGGCCACACTAGTAAGGACTGTAATGCGGAAGACAGGAGTAATGTTTGCCGCAGGTGTACGAGGATAGGACATAAGGAGGGAATGTCAGCAGAGGATCCCGATATGCCTAAACTGCAAGGTGCAGGGGTATAAGGCAGGAAGCGGGCAGTGCCCGGAGTTCAGAAAAGCGCTGGGAAGGTCCAGGAGAGTTAAAAAAAGGCGTTCGTGATAACTGTTCTCCCGATAAACTTTTGTTGTTCGTTCTAGTGTTTTATTATTAAATAACAATATGATCATCCTGCAGTCAAATGTAAATAGATCTCGGGCTTCGACGAATCTGGTATTCGCAAATTCGGTGAAGGAAAACGCTGACATCGTCATTATGTCGGAGCCAAATAGGAAGTTGACTAGGGACAGAGGTTGGATAGTAGATCTCAGGCTGGATGTGGCGGTGGTCCTTACAAATCGTAACATTCAGGTAACTACGGTGGATCCGGGCCCTGGTTTCATCAGAATATCACTGAAGGAGATAGATCTGGTCTGTGTCTATCTGTCTCCGAATAAAGGATTACGTATGTTTGAGGAGGACTTGGCTGGTTGCCTAAGCGGTATCTGTCCAGATGGCTCTACGATTATTATGGGAGACTTCAACGCTAAGTCCCCGGAATGGGGCGCACCGGATGGATAGCGTCTATGGGTCTAGTGATCCATAACACAGGCGCTCCCACATTTCGAAGGGGAACTACACGATCCCACATCGATGTGACCTGCTCCACTCGCAAAATGGCTAGGCATATTCGGGAATGGAAAGTTTTAGAGGACGAAGAACTTTCGGATCACCTTAATATTGTGATAAAAATCACTGCAAAAAATTGTAACAAGCATCAAACATGGAGAACTCAGACTAGTTACGATAGAGGCAAGTTTATCAGATTGTTTGGCGAATTTGTGGATCTGCCTGTGAGGGGAAATGATGTTTCATCCTGGGTCGAGGGCATTAGCAGATGTTACCAAAGAAGCTGTGCACGACTAGCCAATGGAGCACCGGGTGCTCCATACTGGTGGAACGAGGAAATAGCGGGTAAAAGACATCAGTGCAGAATGATGAGGAGGCGGTACACGAGGCAGAGAAGGACACAACGAGACATCGACGAGGTCAGACGGGCGTATAATGACGCTAAAAAAGAACTGAAAAAGTTGATCAGAAAATCTAAACGGCTCGCTTGGAATAGTTTATGCGATAGGCTGAATGAGGATATTTGGGGAGAGGGGTATAGGATTGTGAAAAAGAAACTGGGCGGTCCCCCCCTTCAGTATGCGCTGGCGGACAGTTTTAAAGAGGACATATTGATAACTCTTTTCCCTGATGGGGAGGACCAATGGGTAGTACCACGGGTGGAGGCGGTACCGCCAAGTTTTAGTATTGAAGAACTAGAGGAGGCCGCTAGTAGGATAAAATTGGGCACTGCCCCTGGCCCCGACCAAATACCTCCTGAGGTAATTAAAGAGGTAGTAAGTAAGTTTACCCGCCCTATTCTTGACGTTTTAAATAACGTAATGGCTCGTTTTGAATTTCCATCTAAGTGGAAAAAACTAAGCTGGTCCTCCTTCCGAAAGGGGGGAAAAACTTTTAAGACCCTAGGTCCTATCGGCCCATTTGCTTGGTAGATGTTATTGCCAAAGTAGAATGAATAGTAGAATAGTAGTAGAATGAGACACTCATTCGGGACAGAATAGTGAAAGAAATCGAGGAAGGCAGAGGTTTCAGTGAAAATCAGTTTGGTTTTAGAAGGGGTCGCTCTACGATGCAAGCAATCAATAAAGTTATGGAATGGGCAAGAAGTGCGGAGACAAAATTCTGTCTGTTGATCACATTAGATGTTAGAAACGCTTTTAACTGCGCGTGTTGGAGTAACATCCTGAGTAAAATGAGTGAATGGGGTATCTCTACGTATCTTATTAAAATCATAAGTAATTATTTTAAAGGTAGAGAAATTAGAATTGGCAATATATCCCGGACTATGAAGATGGGGGTTCCTCAGGGGTCGGTATTAGGACCGACCCTTTGGAATATTCACTACGACGAGGTGTTGAGATTAGACCATCCACCGGAGATGTTCACCTTAGCGTTCGCGGACGACTTGGCTGTAATGGTTAGAGCAAACGACCTACAAACTTTGGAGGATATGGCGAATAGTGCTTTAAACCGCATTAGTACTTGGATGGACGATACTAAGCTCATCCTCGCTCCGGATAAATCAGAAGCCGTCTTTTTGAAGGGGCCAAAAAACGTCCCTACGCAGGACACGGAGATAGCAGTTAGGAGGAAGATCAAATACCTGGGGGTCATCATTGATTGGCAGACTACGTTCGGGGAGCACGTTAGATAGGCGTGCGCAAAGATGGAGACGCGTGTGGCAGGTCTAAGTAGGCTGATGCCTAATGTGGGCGGTCCATCGTCGTGCAAGAGGCGTTTGTTAGCACTGGTGGCGCATTCCATAATATTTTACGCTGCCCCTGTTTGGGCAGGTGTTTTGAGGATAAAGAGATATCGGGACATGCTGATAAGCGCTCAAAGGATGTCGCTGATCAGAGTTATCAGCGCGTATAGAACTATTTCGGCATCGGCCGCGCAAGTCATAGCAGGGGTTCCCCCAATACACCTTCTAGTTGAGGAAAGGGCTAAAATGTACGAGGAGCAAAGCCCGAGTCCGGATAGGGAGGCCACTATAAGAGCGTGGCAGTTAGAGTGGACGGAAAATGAGGACGTGGCCATTTGGACGCGGAGTCTGATCAAGGAGGTGGGTCCTTGGATGGGGTGTGCCCACAGAAATGTGGACTATTATTTAACACAGATTTTGTCGGCGCATGGTACGTTTGGTAGCTACCTCAAGAGAATCGGGAAGAAACCTGACGATCAATGTATGTACTGGCAGGAGGTTGACGATGTACGGCATACTTTGTTTCATTGCCCTAGATGGCACGTAGCTCGGGAAAGGGTATATATATATATATATATATCTAGGCACGGAGCTTGATGTGGAAAATCTAATCCCGATTATGCTGGGATCAAAGGAAAATTGGAAGGTAATACACACCATGATTAGGAACGTTATGAAACAAAAGGAGGAGGATGATCGTAGCATGCGATAAAGAGAAAGAGAAAGTATGTGTGTATTATGGGCAATGCGCGGATGCTGTTTCGATTTAATGCAGTTGCGTGTTTGCTTATTGCTTTATTGTTTGCCGTTTATTGCAATTTGTTCATTTATTTATTCATTCGATTTAATTTTTTTTTTAATTTTTTTTAAATCATTTTGTTTTTTGTTTGTTATATTTATTATATTTGATGTAATTTTTATCTCTTTGATGGTTTTGATAATGGTTTAGGTTAGTACATATTGTATATGTAGGACACGGTAACTGTCAGCTCCTCGATCCTGAAGTAAAACCTCGAACAGGTAGTTCCGGGATTAAGGGGCTGAGGAGGTGAAAAAAAAAGTAAGAGTATGCTCGATGATTCCGACAGCGATGCCGGTTGGGTGTGACCTGCTGGCCTCGGTCGAGGTTGAGTGCAGAAATGAAACTGAAGACACCACACACTCACCCCTAATCTTCTTTCTCTTTTCCTTATCATCGCTTTTCTTCTTTTCTCTCTTGTACCTACCTACTCTTTCTTCCTTCCAGGGGTGTCTATCTTTTTTGGATCCTGATCTGTTTCAGCGCTTGCTCTCACCTTGGGCAGGATCCCTATCTTCTTGAGCTATCTTTCTATCGGCCTTCCTTGGCCATTTCTTGTTTTTCCGGTCCCGACGCTATTAGGTTACCCGAGGGTTAGGGATCTCTATTTTCTTGCTTCTTTCTTCTCATTGGATGGATTTAACTTTGACGACCTGGCTATGGACAAGGGCGTTTTTCTTTTTTGAAAAAATGGAAGGTTCGAAAAGGAAAGGCGCGTTTACGGCGCAAGGGATGGATCCCCGGTCGGAGATGGGGAATGTAGGGCGGGTCCCTACCGACCGTCACCCAGTGACCGTCATGGGTATGAGGTGCTTCACCGAGCTTCTACCCTGGGAAAAACTATTGGCGACGTTGACGACCAAGGCTATGGACATGGACAACGAGAACTGGAGGAGTATAGGAGTATAGACCCCTTGTCAAGAAAAGTTTCAATAGGGAATAGTCCTTCAATTAAAAAAGCAGTAGGCTTAAAAGAAAAAGGGAAAGGAGAAAATAGTAACATTGTAACTATAGACATCACTGCGGATAAGTCCAAAAAGGTAATACCAACAAGAATTATGTCTCAACATCGGAGATCCTTCTCTTTTACGGAGAGCAAAAAGAGAAAAGTGGGTGATACTTCCTTCTCAAGAACTGAGAAAGATGTGGAAGCAGTAAAGAAGGTTGAAGATCCGATAACCTTCGTAATACTTGAGACTCTGGAAGCGTTAAAAAAGCAATGTGGGGAGCTAGAGAAGAGGATTGAGGAAAACCCAAATACGAAGCGGGAAATAAAGGAGATATCGGCCAAGATGAGGAGGAATACGGATATATTCAAAAGGCAATCTATAAGTGAATGGCTTAAAGCGCATAGATTTATGGAAGCTGAAATCCCAAAATATGATGTAGACGTACAAACGGAGCATAAGAAGGTCCGAGAGTGTGGTACACAAACACATGGAGAGGGGGATAGGCAAACGGAGTTGGGGGAATTGAAGACGATCGAGGAATGGCTGGAAGTGAGAGACAAGGAGTGGGACGACGAAATCTTTCAGAACACAACACTAGCGTTGGGTGAATTATACGAGGCAGAGGAAAAGGTAAAATGCATCTTATGTAAAGCAGGAGTAACCCAGGAAGTAGTAGATAAGAGGTGGAGAGAGGAATACCCTGACATCTTTGAATAAGAAGAGGAAATGGAAGTGCTAGAACAGTCAACAAAGATTAGATCGGCCGGTAGGGAAAAAAAGGAATCAAAGAAGATTGTGAGATTGAGATGGGACGGAACGGAGTGCTCTGAGCACATTAAAGGATGAAGTTAAATCGGATGGTAACGTAGCTATTAACGTACCTACGGCCCTCGATTTGACTATTTATCGGAAAATGATAGAGGCTACGTTCCATGGAACGGAATGTAGAATAGGATTATATAAAAGAAGGGAGCGGAAAAAGGAAAGGAGGAAAACGGAAGAGGGAACAGGAGCGAAGATAAAATTAAGAGAAAGGAAAACGTACGCTTTAGTGACCGAAGTGGGTGAAAGCACATATGAGGGAACATTGGGGAAAGTTAAAAAAGCGGTGGAGCCCACGTAGGATGGGAAAATTATAGAGAATCAGAAGTGCAAAGGAAGGAAATGTATTGATCATTACTGAAAAAAATGAGGAAGAGCTAGAGAAGCTACGAAAGACTATAGAAGGGGCAAACCTAAATGTCAGGAAGGCTTGAACCAGACAAAAAAAGGAGTATTACACATCAGTGGACTAGATGAGTTAGCTAGTAAAGAGGAGGTATTGAGGGTCATCCAAGAAAAATTCGAAGACGTAAAAGAAACAGACATAATTGTAAGCGAACCGAGACCGAAGATGAATAAGATGAAATCCACGACGGTGACGATTCCCAGGGACAAGATGGAGACTCTGCTGGCAACGGGACCGATGAGGGTAGGCATGGTGAACTGCATGACGGAGAAGAGGGTGGAGGTGCCAAAATGCTATAGATGCTGGGAGTTCGATCATAAGGCTAAAGACTGCAAGGGCCCGGACAGAGCAAAAAATGCTATAATTGTGGGGGAGATGACCATATACATAATGATTGCAAAAATGAAACTAGATGTGTCATTTGCAATCAGAACGGGCACAAAATGGGAAGTAGTAGATGCGGCAAATTTCGAAAGGCCCTGTTTGAAGCTAAACGAAGGGGGAGGACCTTACTTGAAAAAACGACAATATGATCATTTTGCAGACAAATTTGAACAGATCAAGGTCAGCACATGATCTGGCGTACCTGACAGCAACGGATGTAAGAGCAGATCTAATAGTAGCCTGCGAACCTAACCTAGCCTTAATAAAAAAGGAGGGGTGGGTAACTGACCAGAGATCAGATGTCGCTGTGTATTTTAGAAATAAAAATATCCAGGTGAGGAGAGTGAGAAAGGAAAACGGTTATTTAATATCAATATGGTCTATTTTACAATGGTCTGCGGATACATATCTCCGAATATAGGTATAGATAATTACGAAATTCTGCTGACTGGTATGATGAATGCCGTAGAGAGGGGTGCTAAAGTTTTAATTATGGGTGATCTAAACTCGAAAGCCCCGGAGTGGGGATCGCCAGTGTGCGATAAGAGAGGGGAAATCTTGTTAGAGTGGATGACAGCGTTGGATCTGGTTGTTCACAATACGGGAGAGCCAACCTTTATTAGGGGAACAACGAAATCACACATAGATGTAACGTGCTCGTCCCAAAAACTGGCGCAGCAGGTTAAGAAATGGAGAATTGTCTCAAAGGAAGGGCTAACAGATCACCAATACATCTGTTTTGAGATTGAAGACCATACGCCCAAAAGAGCTGCGGTCCACCCAAGAGTTCCCTTGGAGGCGGTAGTCGTAAGGAGAGAAATTAGAGCACGGATAGAGAGACTAAACATGGAAGAGGAAGTAAATCCTGAGACATGTTTCGATGTGCTAAAAGCAGTGCATTATAAATGCACAAACAGGAGGAGGCGTGAGAGGGGTAGTTGTCCTTACTGGTGGTCTGAGGAGGTCGAAGAGGCTAGAGACGAGTGCACGGCAATGAGAAGAACCATCACCAGAAATAGGGGTGGAAAAGAGAGAATAAGAGAAGAATATAAAGATATGAGGAAAAGGCTGAAGAAACTTATTAGGAAAGCGAAAGCAAAGGCATGGGAAGACATCTGCGACAAACTGGAGGATGATATCTGGGGAGACGGCTATCGAATAATCAAAAAAGTCTGAAAGGATCGGGCGTCCCTTACTCATTAGAGAAAGATTTTCAGCTGGAGATATTAAACACACTTTTCCCCACCCGCAATGACAGCTGGCTTCCATCGCACATCGAACAACCCACACTGTTCACAACAGAGGAGCTGCGAATAGCGGGGGAAAGGGTTGGCACGGCTCCGGGACCGGATAAAATCCCACCGGAGCTGATTAAGGAAGTGATCTTACAAGCTCCAAGATACATTTTAAAACTGTTAAACTTGCTTCTAACAGCACAGACTTTTCCATTAAGATGGAAGAGAGCAAATGTGATTCTAATAAGTAAACAAGGTGAAGATCATTTAGATCCGAGAGGTTATCGACCTATTTGTCTCCTGGACGTAATAGGCAAACTCTATGAAACTCTGATCAGAAATAGGCTGGTGAAGGAAATAGAAGCAGATGGCGGTTTTTCCGTGTATCAGCACGCCTTTAGGAAAGGGAAATCAACCCTCCAGGCAATGGAGAGGATTCTTAATTTTGTTAAAGAAACCAATGAGAAGTACTGCCTTCTGGTTACGCTTGACATCAGAAATGCCTTTAATTCGGCAGCATGGGGTATGATAATGAACAAGTTACAAGAGCGCCGAACATCGGCGTATCTTAAGAATATTATAGGCTCCTATCTTAGTGAGAGGGAGGTAGTACTCGGTACCATTCGTAAGAAAATGACGGCAGGAGTTTCGCAGGGATCGGTGTTAGGACCCACCCTGTGGAACATCCTATATGATGACATTTTTAAAATTCCTCTCTTAGAGGGTTCAATCCTGGTAGGATTTGCGGACGACATCGCCTTGGTTACAAAGGCACAGAATCTGAATACCCTAGACAGCAAAGTAAACGACTCTCTACGAAAGATAGACGAATGGTTACTAACACATTACTTAGAGTTAGCGCCAGAGAAGACCGAGGCAGTATTCCTGAGATGCCCGAAGAATATACGTTCGGAAACAAACGTGTTTGTCAGGGAGCAACAAATTATTCCTAAAAAGGAGATTAAATATTTGGGTGTGTATATAGACTGGCAGGGGACATTCGGCGCACACGTAAAATATGTGTGCAACAAAGCCGCCTCAAGGATATCAGCTCTAAACAGATTACTCCCGAATACAATAATCGATTTTACTATATGCCGCACCCATATGGCAAGG